CCTCCGGCCCCCTGGCCGCCATCACCACCGCCCTGCTCGTGCTCAGCGAGAGCAGCACCCTGACCATGGTCCTGTCCCGCGCCCTGCTCATCGAGGACACGCTGATCGACACCTTCGACGGCACCCTCGTCGGCAAAGGCCAGTCCGACCTCGTGGCCTCGAATCGGCAGGTCAAGTCCGGCGCGGCGGGCGACGCGATCGGGCGGCTGGGGATGCTGATCTCGAAGCCGTTCCAGAAATTTGTACGTCCTTGCTCCTCCCGCGACTAATCACAGGTGCCTACATACGCAAGCTCGGAAGCTGCGGTGCGCGACGTTGCCCACGCCTCGCCATGCGCCAAGATGGAGCCGAGAGAAGTATGAATCAGCTAACGCAGGATGCTCAATAGACCCCGACGGCCATCATCCGCTACTTCATGTACCTCCCCCTGAACTTCATCCCCGTCGTCGGCACCATCGCCTTCGTCGCCCTCCAAGGCCGGCGCAACGGGCCCCACGCCCACTCGCGTTACTTCCAGCTCAAGGGCATGAACAAGACCCAGCAGGACCAGTTCGTCGAGGAGCGCAAGGGCGCTTACACGAGGTGCGCAGTCATCCCCAACAGTTCGCTTGAGGAAGCCGAATGACCCCGCTGATCTGTCCCGACAGCTTCGGTGTGGCGTCGACGCTGCTCGAGATGGTGCCCCTCGCGGGCATCTTCGCGGCGTACACGAACACCTGCGGCGCGGCGCTGTGGGCCGCCGACCTGGAGCAGCGGGCGGGCACCGCGCCGGGGCTCCGCGAGCAGGCCAAGAAGGCCGAGTGAGTCTTCTCGGGTCGGGGGGGAGGGCGCACGATCTCATGATGGCGCACGGTGTCATGGTGGCGCACGATATTTCGACGGCGCACGATATCATGGCGACGCATGATGTCATGACGGCGCACGAGAGCCCGACGGCGCACGATAGCCCCACGGCACACGACCTCACGCCAGTGTCTCAAACAAAGTACGCTGGGCTCGCGGCTGCGATGGGCTACTCTGAGCAGCGGGCCGGGGCGCATAAAAGTTCATTATTCATGAGCGAGCCATTTTGGCCATGCTCGATAGCGTCTAGAGCACACACTCCCATGCCTCCGGCTGCCTGTAGTTGTCCGGGTCCACGCACCGGTTCCGCAGCGGGTATTTGCAATGGTTCCGCACAAAGTCCACCCCAAGGCTCGCGGTATCCTAATGTCATTCCATCAGCATTCAATCCCTGATGCCAGGTCACAGCACAGCACAGGCGTCGCCCGAGTCGTCGCGCTGAAAGAGGCAGTGGGACTCACATTGACAAACTTGACCCCCGTCACCGTCTCCGGCGCCTGACCCTGCTCCACCCACTCCACCATCCGCAATAGCACATTGTGCTGCGCGTCCAACTCCGCCCCCGCCGTACTGGCGCCACTCTGCCCGATCTGCCACGCGCCCACGCCCCCCGCACAGTGGTCCATCCCGCCGATCCTGAAGAACCTATAGAACGCATCCAGATCCCTGGGCGGCAGGCCCATGGTCGTGCTCACGTGGTCATAATACCGCGGCGAGTTCTCCGACGTGATGATCGAGTCCGCCTGGCCGTGGTAATGTAGGATCTTGCCCCCCTGCGCCTGAAAAGCGGAGAGGTCGCCCTTCCACGTCGAGATGCCGTGGGGGTCGATCTCGGACGCGAGGGCGGCGTAGTCCGCGTTGAGCTGGTCGGCGGTCCAGGTCGTGGAGTTGAGGAGGGCGTAGCGGTACCAGTCCGTCGTGTAGGGGAACGGTTGGCCGGTGTAGTAGATGAAGGCATCCGAGAGCTCGGACCCGGGCTGCATGCGCGGGAAGATCAGGGAGCCGTTGGCGCCGTAGTAGGGCTCGAAGACCTTCTTGACCGTGGCGACTTGGGCGGCGGTCAGGCAGGCCGTGGTGGTGTTGCCCGAGGGGGAGCATTGGAGGGTCACGGGCGTGTAGCGGCAGAGCATGGGGTCCTCGAGGATGCCGTCCGCGACGCCGTCGAGGTCGTCGCACTGCGAGAGGATGTCGGCGTGCACGAGCGCCCAGTCGGCGGGGGTGAGCCAGGTGGAGGAGTTGGTCGGGCCGGTCTTGAGGACTGCCGATTAAGTATCAGCACACAGTCTCAAGCCACGCGAGCGTGGATCAGCTCGATGTACGCACGGAAAGAACCACTCCACGAGCTCAAATTATTGAACGCCACCGCCGGCGCGCCCAGCACCACGCCATCGAAGTCCCCGGGGAAATCCTGCACCTCCTTGAACCCCTGCCGCCCGCCCGTCGAGCAGCCCAGGTAATAGCTCTTGGTGTACTCGCTCGCATAGTACTTCTCGGTAATCGCCTTGCCCACCACCACACCCGTGTGCACAGACCTGTACGCGAAGTCCGCCACGATCTCGCTGTTCTTGTAGAACGCTGTCCCCCTCGTCCCGTTGTGGCCGTTGTTCGCTCCCACCGTCGCGAAGCCAAAGGAGGATGCGTAGGCGATGTCCTCGTACTGGATACAGCCCGACAGGCCGCCGTTGCCCGTGCTGAGGAAGCGGCCGGTCCAGTTGGTAGGGAGCCAGGCCTCGAGCGTGATGTTGGAGATGGCGCTCGTCTTAACCAGCATGGCGACGCGGCAGAGGTCCACGGAGACAGGCTGGAAGGGCCGGCCGCAGGAGACCAGGTCGGCGGTGGACTGGTCGAGGGAGAGGTTCGTCCCGGCGGGGATGTAGTGGGCGAAATTCACGGTGACGTCGGGGTACGAGAAGGCGGTGGCGATGGCGGAACATGCTGAGGATGGGTAGGAGACGATGTTCTGCGCGAGAGCCAGGCTTCCCGCCCCGAGGGCGAAGGAGAGGTTGTGCAGTTGCATCTTGCTGTGCTGTGCGGCTTGGAGGCCGAGCGAGTGGAAGGAAGGAGAGATTAGGAAGGCCGCTCACAAGCCGTTAAAACCCACCCAACGGCACTGTTCTGCCTATATACTCACCCCCAATCTACCCATGTTGGGAACAATAATGTCCCGGGCATGTGCACCGAAGCTCATCTCGAGACCGACGGGCCTGCAGGTACGCATCATGTCGAAGCTTTTCGCGGGGTTGCGGGGCAGACCAGGGCACGCTCGGGACCTGGCGGCGGCAGTGGCGAGGCCCGCGAAGACCGGCAGATCTTGTAGGTCGCAGCACGGTGGTGATAAAGGCTACGAGGGAGTGCTGCGGTCGGTAGTTGCGTATGCTGGATCGTGTGCGAGCCGGACGCAGTCTGGTGCAGCAGCAGGCCATGCTTCCGCCGTCGGTTTGCCACGCAGGATGAGACCGTCGGAGCACGTGTTGGTATTGGCAATCGCAGAGGCAGGAACAGGTCCGTAGAACATGAGCAGAGCCTTGGATCGATGGGGGCGGATTGATGGGCTTGGGACGGCGGAAGAGTCGACCTCTTCAGGAGCAGAACTGCAACCGACGCTCTCCAGGCTTCCGGCATCCATCCGGCTCATGTCTTCCCCTGTCTTTGACCGCGGCTGTGGCTGCGGAATGTGGAGCGTGGGGAAAAAGGGCCATTGCGTTTCTGGATCATCAGGCTCCCGCCGTGTTGTCAGACGTGCTGAACTTCATCATGCGGCTTCCTTCGTCATAGCGCGCCATGTACGCATCTTCAACGGCCTTCGTTCCTCCCCTCGGTACGCGCGGTGCCGTCCAGTCTCGCCGTGACCGTACATCGAGACGGCTCCGTAGCATCCGTGCTCGCCGGGCCAGCTTTGGCCTTCCAAGCAGTGCTGCCATCTTGTCTCTGTCCCGAGTACTCTCTCCGGGCCCACCCACCGGTGTGACGAGTGACGGACCGAAGTGCGCAAGGGTGATCGGTCCAGCCAGCCTGGCCACAGCGCTCTCTACCATCCCCATACAACCCCTCACCCAACCACGCCATTGACCTGCACCCCTTGACCCGCCCCACTCGCATCCGCCTCCCCCAGACAAAAGTCCTTGACCCCACCCTTCCAATCACTAATCCTCCCGTCCCGAATCCTCACCACCACCACCCTGACATCCTGATCCTCAATATAGCTCCCCCGCCCCCCATCCCCCATCCCCATACTGCCACTCCGCGCCTGACTCGGCGAAGTGCCAAACAGCTGATCGCCACCCCCGTTCGCCTCGTCAAAGGTGTTATTCGCCAGGTGCTGCTCTTTGCACCACCGCTCCTCCTCCGTCCCGGGCTCCAGCACGGTCGTCTCCCCGTTGATCGTCGCGGAGATGCTCGAGACAGCGGCGGAGTTGAGCTGCATCAGCATGTTCGCCAAGCTGCTACTCCTCGCTCCCGCGGGACTGCGCTCGCGCTCGCTCTCCCGCGCGGTGATGTTCGGCGGGCGGGAGGAGACCCAGTCGTGGACCAAGAGGCTGACGTTGGGGTTCTGCAGGAGGTTGACGGTCTTCTTCGACGACGGGTTGGAGGTCATGATGATGAGCGGGCCCGGGGGCAGGCGCGGATGCGAAGGCGTGTGCAGGGACGGGGCGGGGAGGTAGGTGTAGTTCATCAGGCTGACGTGCGGGCGGTTGGCCATGCATGTTGCTAGGTGAAGCTGGAGTTCGTTAGACCATGACTGAGATGATGGATGATGGGGATACCGTACGAATCGAGCATTCTGTAGGCAGGTGATGACTTCGTCTGGGAGCTGGTTGATCATCACGGGGTGGGAGTCGGCGCTGCTTTGCCACATGGGAGGTTGTTGAGCTTCAGGCATGGTGGCGCGTCCTTGGTAGACAATCTCGGTGATGAAGAAGACGAGAGCCGCTTCGACGATGCTTTCATCATCTCCAATAGCTCGAACCGGAAGGCACACATCTGCACAGACCCCCGGCGTTAGTCGGTCTGATCGCCGAGAGATGCACCCCGCCACGCCCGCACTGCTCGATTCTCGGTGTTCTGGAAAACAACCGACAGACACCAAAAAGCACACTCGCAGATGGAAGCATCGAGGTGCACTACGTGTGTGGCATACTAAGAAACAAAAGGATGTATTCCATCGCCGGGAGTCGAACCCGGCTCTGCTCGGGACCATGAATGATCTAGGATGTCCCTAGGGTGGCTGCTGTGAAAGCGAGCGATGCTAGCCGATACACCACGATGGATTGAGCATGCGCAACGGTACGCGCACGTGATTCGGCAGGTCACGCTCAATATGATTGCTAGACATCTTGGCCGAGGGCAAACCGTGCGTCACATCCATCCTGACGGCTGCCTCGATCATGGTTTACGTCTCTCTACATGTGAGTAGCGACCAGGATACGGGGGGAACCAAGATAGCCATGTACTCTTCGTCATTCCTCGACTCCATTGCACAAGTCCCAACGGTGAATCGCAAAAGTAGATCTCTTCAATGCAGTCTCAGCGTCAAGTCGCTCGTCCACGCACCACCACTAGTCGCCTGCTCAAGCCCCGTGATGGCAAGGACATTGCCGTCCGTGTATGCCAGTTTCGCTCGCCGCGTATCACACCCTCTGCCGCCAGACTTGACGGACACTGCACGCGGCCGCCAGCCAATCCCGGCGATCGTGATATTGGCCAGCGGTATCGCGTCTTGGTAGTCTCCGGAGACCATCGCTCGGAGGACGTTGTTGGCGAAGGAGAACTGCATCTCCATTAGCTGCGGCCACAGAGCCAGACTAGGTGAAAGACTCACCTCGATATTCTTCGTCACATTCGGCATCAGCGTGATCCCGTCATCCAGATACAAGCCCCCCTTTGCCTTCCCATCCTTATCCAGCGCCACGATCAGACTCCACGGGTTCATCCGCGACGTCTTCGTGGTATTGCCGGCCTTCTGCATCGGCACGATGTACCCGCCCCGGACATGCACGGGCTGATGCACGAGCGGCGCCTCCAGCGTCTTGTTCTCGCCTGCGCCTACATCGACCTGCCGCAGCGTGTAGAGATCATACCACAGCGTCCCGGCCGCCACACCAGGAAACACGCCCCGCACGCTCGTCGCCAGGGGAGCGAGGACGGGGGTGACGAGGAGTGCGGGGCCGGACATGAACTGCGTCTCCACGGCTTTCAACGACGGATCATCCGGGAACTCCCAGGCGAGCGCGCGGAGGACCGTCTCGCCCGCCACGTTGGCGCGGTGGAAGAGGGTGTAGGTGTAGGGGAGCAGGCTATACCGGATGTTCATGATGCGCCGCGTGGCTTCCGCGGTCGTGGCCCAGCGGTAGGCTTCCTGGGGGATGATGTTGCCTGTGCCGGCGTCAGCGGTCCAATCTCACGATGTATTGGGAATGTGGTCGACATACGGTTGTTGTGGTTCCGATACAGCGGGAACCATGCGCTCAGCTGCATCCACCGCGTGCAGAGCTCCATGTCCGCATTGCCGTTGAAGCCGCAGGTCTCGACGCCGAAGTACTACACCACGAGTACGTCAGCACTGCTGCTCACTCTCATCTCGCATAGTCTTACTCACCGGGATCCCAACGATACTAAATTGCAGCGCCTGACTGATGCCGAAATACATATTGCCCCACATGCTGTTCGTATCGCCACCCCAGTGACCAGAGAAGTTGCCGCTCCCGGCAAAGGTACTCCGGTTGATGAAGAACGGCCGCTTCCCGGGCGTGACAGCCTTGAGCGCATTGTACGTCGCCCGTCCACTCGTGTGGCCGTACAGATTATGCAGCTCGTACTCCGTGCTGTTGTACGGCCCGTCATTGTGCGTGGCGTCCGGGCTGATGACCTGCTTCTGCAGACTGTGGCCCGGTAGGAAGTTGTTGATGGCGTAGGCCGGGTACGTCAGATTCCGAACACCGGGTGTCGCCAGCGTGCGGCCGACGGTGGGTGTGGGCGTCACACTCGGGGTCGGGTACATGAGCGACTGGCTCATCATCGCCGAGCTCGCGGACGCGGCTTCCGTGGCGTTGGTTACATTGAACATCTCGGGATACCTGTAGTCGACCGCGACCGACGTGTTCGGGTCGCCCGGCAGCGCAAATGGGACGTGGATGGGATTCTCCTCGATCAGGCCCTGACCGCAACTCCCAGTGCAGAAGGACGTGGCATCGTTGACGTCCAACCAGAAGCCATCGTAGGGGATCTTCTGGTGGAAGGCGATGAATTGTTCGGTCCAGAATTGCTGCGCTTGGGGCGTGATGAAGTCTGGAAACACGCTGAAGCCAGGCCATTCGACGCCATAGTACCAACTGGCGTTGCCATTCCGGATGTACGCCTGCAGCTCATTACCGCGATCGTAGGTGGGGTATGCATCTGAGGCGTTCGTAGGATCCGGCACGTAGATGTTGGGGTCCAAGATCGGCATATAGTATTGCCCGTTAGCATGCAGCTTGTCCAGGAACGCACGACCAGGTGCCAGATCATAATGACCAGGGTTGTTGGTGAAGTCTCTGTTCATCTTGAGGTAGTCGAGATCACTCATCAGCCCCTCGAGCTGGATATTCTGCGCCGCGTACGCATCCACGACGTCCTGGAGGTTCGACCAGTTCTGGTAGCTCCACCTGACTTGTTGGAACCCCAGATGCCAGTAAGCTGGCAGGTAGGGCGTATTGACAATCCCAGTCTGATATTGGCTGATGACTTGCGTGGGCGTGGAGCCAGAGAGGAAATAGAGATCGAAGCTGCCGCCGATGGTACCTACATGCCATTAGTGACAGACTCAAGCGGCGATCATATCAGCAGGGTGCTCACGGTAGGTAACGCTCTCGTTCCGCATCAACCACTCCTGACCATGAGCATTTCTCGCATACACCCCATGTGACATGGACGAGCCATTCCCATACCGCGTCTCGACATACACGGGATGCACACTGTGGGCATTTACATCCAGTTCCTGATCGTTGTCAAGGTTATAGGCGTTCCAGAACGTCTGCGTGAAGTTGTTCGGGATCCGGAAGCCCCGCAGATTCTCCGCGAGGCCGTAGATGTTGTACTCCGGCACCATGCTGGTCACCAGCTCGAGGAACTGGTCTTCGAAGACCAGCTTGTGTCCGTAGGTGTCGAAGAGGACCGCGCCGCCATTGGCGCGGGAGACACGGAACTGGAAGCTCGGTGAGTTCGTCCAGGTGAACGCCAGATCGCTACTGGTTTTGCTCGCGCCATAGCCGATACCGGGCTGTGGTGTGAGAGAAGGAGACAGTATGTAGAGCGACTGATTGCTGGGTGCAAGATGCTTCGGATATATTCGCACAGCAAGGCGCTCCTGGCTCTGATATTGGACGGACAGGGTCAGGTCGCGGATATCGTTGCCGTAGGCGTTGCAAGCTGGTCCTGCGAGCGTGAGATCCGCGGTCAGCCCTGTAGTGGTTTCTTGGACACTGGAAGCTTTGTAGCCTGGGCACACGGTCTGCGCATTGGGCGCAGTTTTGTCCAGAACGTTGGGAGTGACGCTTGGAGCGTAGTTGATCGATGACGGGAGTATAGGTGTTGGTGGGAATGCGGGAGGATACTGTGGTTGTTGAGCTGGCGTAGCGTGTTAGTCGCGCCACGTTGATGTGACCGAGATTGAGGTACACTGACCTGCCACGAAGGCTGGCAGTGCCCAGGCTAGTAGCGTGGTAATTTGCATGCTGTATTCAGTGCAGCATCGAGAGGACGCGAACGGATTAGAACCGGTGGTTGGGTGTCAGGGAAGAGCCCAGTATAAGAGCATGCAGGAACGACAAGGAAAGTCATTGAGGCCCACGGCTGTCGGGATCATGCCCATTGGTTGCAATCCAAGCATCACTGGCAGAAGCTTCGGAGGCCGTCGAAGCTTGATTCACATCATCTCCTCATGAGGCAGTGATGCTGCTGGTGTAGACTTCCTTTTCCCATTGGTGCCCTTGGCGAACGGAGCAGGTTCATTTGACCATTGCGCGGACTTGCAATGCAGTAGCGTGGCGAGGGCTGTCTATGTACTACTGCGCTGCACAGCGATGATAGGTATTCCGGAGAAGCCAGACAAGGTCGATGCCGCCGATGCCACAGAAGCGCTTCTCCAGACGCCCCAAGACCGGATAGACGGGTCGTACCTGGCGATCATCAACCTTGTCGGACGGATCTGCGGGGAAGATCGAGGGATTGTGGGGATCAACACAGAGCCTCTTCGGACGTGAAGGCAACCGGTAGCGTTGGTGGCCGCTGCGCCTGCTCCGCTTTAAGCTGTCCCATGTTGATGATGATGTCCGTCGGCATTCCGGAGGAGGTGAGGTCGTGAGGTGCAGTGATGCGCCTCGGCTGAATTCGGCGCCGAATTCTCCGAGCCTTACACCTCTCCCTTGTCCTCTCTCCACGTGCCAATGCCACCGCCATACGAGAGCCTCAACACCTCGCACTCGTCCCTCGCGAGCTCCATCCAGTCCGACCGCCATTATACTCGCCAAGACCACACGCGTCTCCGCCCCGAGGATGCCATCTACGGCCCGTCACCACCGCGGCATGCCCGTCCGCGCAAGAGCAGCCCACTGGGTAGGAGCGACACGATCACCGCCGCCACTGCACCACAGACCACAACCAACCATGAACGGCGTCGAAGCCGACGCGGCGGTGACGTCGGCCGCCGCCGCAAGACGACCTGGAAGAAACTCCTGTGGGTGAAGCAATCGTACCCAGATAATTACACCGACGAGGAGACCTTCCTCGACCATCTGCAGCGCAACCCCCGACTGCGGCCCTATGAATTCTGGCCGTTGGTGGCCGATAGCACGATCATCGTGCAGCACGTCTGCTCCGTGGTGATCTTCGTCTGCTGCTTCACCGGCATCTTCCAGGAGCGCATCAGTCCGCAGACCGTGGTGGGATGGGCGACGGGCGGGACGGTGGCAGGGTGGGTGCTGAGGGACTGGTGGCAGGGGATGGAGGAGGTGGAGGCGGCGAATGCGATGTCGCAGGTGGCGACTGAGACCGCCTCCACCTCCTCTGGGTCTGCAGGAGAGCCGGCTGCGGCTGTCGCGGAGGTCGGCACGCCACTGACCGTGACTCCTGCCTCATCGCGACGACCATCGGAAGCCGGACTGTCGAGAATGCATTCCCGCAATCCTAGCGCGGGATCGTTCCAGGGCACCTTACACCCCATGTCCACGATCCCCAACAGCGACCTGAACGCCATCCCCGGCATGACGACTGCCCCCCAACCCTCCCCGACCTC